CAATGACATCAGACTGTTGCAAGTGTCGGAATGGTTCTTGCTGCATGAGGCACCTGACAGGACTGCGTACAAACTCCGTCCATGGTCCAGTGAACTGGTCTTTGAAAATCAGAACTCGAATCACTTGGTTGGGGACTTCCGGAACTGCAATGGTGTGAGCTGGCACGTTACGCAAGACAGATTGTTGACCAATCTGCACAACTGCAACTTTGACAATCAGTGGGTCCTGCGTGTCTCGGCTTTGGACAGGGACTTTCATGACTTGGTGTTGCTGCGGCAGTCGTGGGTCATCAAACTCAAGAACAAGCAATGCAACTCCATGTGGGCTGACCGCTTCGGTTAATTGGAAGTATGGCATGGCTTCAGCAATGTTGACGATTGCAACACCTTGGCTACCGGGGGCAATGTCAGCTGCGGTGATCTGGCTAAGCTCAGTGCCATCGGATTGCTTGAAAACGGCATGGGGAACTTCCAACATGTCAGCTCGCAGTTGCAAGATTGGCTTCTTCTGGTTCTTTGCTTTAGACTTATTTGCTTTCGTCCCCACTGGCGTCTGCAGCTTGGCTTTGGCTTGGATGAGATTTTTTAACTCATCGGATGTCACTATACGGATCGGTGGTCGTTGCAAACTGGCTCGAGACTTCAAGTCAGCCCAAGGATTGGGTGATGCCAGGATCTGTTGGACGGTTTGGTTGCCCAGTGCAGTGAGGAGCTGTTCTGCACACTCTCGGCTTCGGCTATGGGCAACACCATGTTCAACAACCAGCTTCTGCAACTGTTCACGCTGTCCTTGCATACCTCCTAAGAGTAGCGGTACCGTGACAACACTCTCAGCTGAACCTGTGTTCTGCAAATCAATGGAGAAGAGGCCTCTCCACTGTGCTGCTTGTTCCTCTGAGAAGGGCACATTGGTTGAGTCATCCAACAAGATTGACAAAATCCATCCCTCTGCTTGAAAGCCACAATCGGCTTGGAAAGCTGACGGCATGACACTGGTGGCAAATTGAAAGGCTTTGGCTCCTACTGTGGCTTCAATCAACGGTCGCATCCATTTTAGATCTTCGGGCGTTGTCCACAAATGGATTATGATTCCCTGGACTCGGATGACTACTGGGACCCAGTGATCACCTGTGAAGATGACAAAGGCTTTGGCACTGCCCTCAGGGTCTGACCCCGCTTCGGTGGCGACTTTCAGCACATATTCCGTGAGAACTGTGTGCTTATCAGGGCGATCATGCAGTTGGAGAACTCCGTACATGGTTCCTGGCTTGTAGCATTCAAGCATGTAGAGGTAGTACTCCATTTCATCCATTGATACCCATCCCTCCTGAGCCCAGAGAAGTTGACGTCTCGTCTTGCCAACTAGGCACGGTGTTCTGCTACCTGTTGGTTCCTCATAGGCGGCATGATTGATATCATGGTCACAAAGCACGTACCACCCTTTGTGTTGGATGAGTGCATCACTAGCCAATGGTGTGCCAAAGATTGTGGTCATACGTGCAAAGTTCTTTTCCCCAAAGTCTTTGTTGGTTGCTTCAAGGAGCTGAGCAATCTTCAACCCTGGCGGAACTTGTGTGATGAAGAAACTCTCACCAGGCTCCACAACATGCACAGTCAACGGTTCACTTGCACCCAGATTGTCAGTTTCGCTGGGGACCAGGGTTGTTCCAGGATGCACCTGCTGTACATGCTGCAAGTGATCGTCATGCGGAGGGTGACTTTCACTCTCATCATGATCTTCAGGTGGAACTGATCCCTGGTCATTGGTGCAAATAGGTTCAATTTGTGTGTCACGGATGGACTTCGTTCCGTCATTCAAAGCATTGGCTATTTCCGCTTTCTCCGGTTCAACTTGATTGACGCCACTCTTGTGATACTTGATGGACTCGGTGGGCATGGCTTGTTTTCGTTTGACTGCAAACCCTGGTACTGCCCCTGCTTGGAAAAACGGTGTCTCCTGAAAGGTCGTGGTCGGATGCTCAAGTTCGGCAATGACTTGTTGATCAAAAACTGGATCTTCATAGAAGAAAGCATCATGGCCTACATGCTGCGCTTGTTCTGGCAAGGGTTTTGACACATTGGGCTGTCCTGGACAATCCTCAAGGTGAAAAGGCAATGGGTGCTTTTCCGAGATTGGTGTTGGCTCTTCATCACTGCACTCATACGGGTCACTTCGGCAGTGCACATTTTGACTCTCACTGTCATTTCCAGAAGCTTGTGACCCAGCAGGCTCAGTCATTTGAACTCCCTGCCCTTTGTCTTCTGCACACATTGGGGAGGGGCCCCCACACCCTAAGCGTGGAAGGGGCATGGCCTGAAAGAGGGTGGGAGGGACATGGGTGCCGCTAATGCTGGCTGCTGTCATTTCATGGGTGGTCTCACTGGCATCATCTTTGATTCGGATTGGTCCCCACCTTAGTGCAGCATGGCTTGCTGCAACTGGCTCACTGTGGGATGTTATGGCCACAGCTTCCGGGTCACTGTGCATCTGTGCTACATCAACTTTGGCTGGATCACTTGGACTCTTTTTCTGGGTTGGGCCCCCACACCCTAAGCGTGGAAGGGGCATGGCATGAAAAGGGGGGGGAGGGACATGGGTGCCCAATTGGCTTGCGTCAGATGTGCTGGCGTCTGTTGCACCATTGCAGTCCTGCTCACTACTAGGCATCTGGGCTACGACACTTGATCTTGCATCAAATCCGGAAAAGGCCTGGTGCATGTGCAAACTTGCTGGCAATGGTGGGGATTGGCTGGCTTTCCCCTTCGGTTCTGCATCATTCTCACCTGGGTCCTTACAGTCCTGGGCAACTGTATCTGGCGAGATTTCTCTACTGACACCTCCCAATGCGGAGGGGCATTTGAATGACTCCCGATGGTTCGAGCTTTGTGGTCCCTGAAAATTGCTCGGTCGATCTGGCTTGACATCCCCTGTGCTTGACTTTTTCATTGCAATTTTGGCCAAGAAGCTTGCAAAGGTGTTGGACTGCGTTGGGCTGTCTTTACCTGCATCAGTTGGCACCTCGGCAATGCACGGTGCGGTGGCATGATCTTGAGTTGGCTCTGACATTTTCTCAACTGTCTCCCTTGGGGATTTGATTTCAGGTGCAATGTCTTCAGGGAGTCCACTAGGGGTCATGTCTCGGGTGGGGCCCCCACACCCTAAGCGTGGAAGGGGCATGGCATGAACAGGAGGGGATAGGGATGCATCATGGGAATCAGCATGTTCAAACTCAACAGCACCTTCTTCCTCATGAACCTTAACTTCATCGTTCCTACTGGATTCATCTGATTCAAAGGGCTGTTGGGTCCCCTTGTGGGTGAATGAATCCGGTGGCGCAAAAATGCATGGTGTGTCAAGGCTCTCAACTTCCTGCTCAAAAATCCGCATGGATTTGGTGGTCCGCATTGTTCCCCACCATTCATCTCTCTCCTGCAAGAGCTGGCGGCAGATGTTGGCATGGACATGACGTGGGTTGACATCTGTGTCATGCAAGCTTTGTTTGGCAACATTAAACATCATGTTGGCAAGTACCCATGCTCCTTGCAATGGGGACGCAAGTTGGCCTACCCCAGCAAGCTCCAATCGGAGTGGTGTTTCATCTGAGGGTGCAACATGAGATGGCATGAGTCCATTCAACAACGCAACTTCTTGGGGGTGAGGGTGTCGCATTTTTGACACTTTTCGATTCCCCAAAACTTCTTCTTGGTCAATTGGAATTAGAACTGCATACAGCCCTTTCCGGTCAATCCTTTCTTGACTGAACCCTCGTGACCTGCACTTGCACAAACATGCCAACACCTGTGAACCCCATGAATGTGTTGCTGTATTCATGGCTTTGTACACATCAATGACATTGGGACCAATGCCGGCTGGGACATCATGAAAACACCTGAGCTCATAACTGGACAGGACAAGTTGTTCCAATTCGCTTTCGGACATCGGTAACATTTGGCTGATCAGGTGCATGACACTGGGGACAAATCTCATGGACGGCATCTGTGGAATGGACTGGACAGACAAGGCCGGATGTGCAACTACTGCCCACCATCGCGTACGCATGGCAGGCCATGTTTCATGAAGGTGCAAAACAGTTTGGTGGACTGTCCACCCTGTCTGCGATGCAAAACGGCTCAACTGCTGTTGGATCCATTCGGATTTCAGGGCTTCCTTTGTACATTCCAACAAGATAGCAAGGCTGCCGAGAAAAAACCCCATCATCAAGATTCCAGTGAAAGAAGCACTTCGGGGGTCTTGACCCTGTTTTCCATCCCCAAGGCCTGAAAATGGCTGACAAGACACTCCTGCTGCTAGCACATGAGACTGCTGTACACACTTTGACACCTCAAAAACGGTATGCATGTCAGCTACATTCCCTCGGATGCATGGCTTGGTAGTGCGGGCTGCACTCCACTGGTGAAAAACTTCGTTCGATTCGACATGACACAAAACCCTGGCACCACAGGCTTCATACCCTTTGGCCACTGCTCCAAGGCCGCTGCAAGCATCAACAATGTGATACAAACCCTCCATCTCAGCGACTGGTCTGGAAAAAGATCGAGTGTTGGGGCCCATTCGAATCCACCACTTGCCATCACAGTTTTGCACACATCCATCTAAAATTGTGTGGGTCTCATACCCTCGCTGAAGGATACAGTCAGTGAAGAACTGTTGGCGATTCACCAATGTCTGACATAGGTGCTTCCCTGGTTGATAAACTACCGTGGTCAAAACAACTGAAATCTCTGGTTCCAGAACTTTCCCAAAGCATGGGTCCAAATCCCAGGGTGAACTTACCATTGCATGCGCGTCCCCCCCAAGTGTTCGGTTTGAACTAGCTCACCAGCTGGTAGGAAACTTGGGCCCGAGCTTCCAACCAACAACCATCCAGGACCATGCCCGAGTGTCTGTTTACATCTCTGCTTCCGATTGCGCGTGTCGCATCTTGTCAAATCTTGTCACTACCAAGGCCGAGCCAAGTGCCAAGTCGCTGCCAAGTCGCTCATATCGTGGAAGTGCACCGTTGCTCCCCACAAAATGGCGCAGCAAAGGCCTGGCACACCATGTCCGGCGCCGAGTTCCAGGACGCGAGCACCTCGAATCCGAGGGGGCTGAAGCAGCTGAGCATTGGGGAGATAAATTGACGAAGTGATAGGATTATGGTAATATGATGTAATATGATCATGCGAACGGAGATGATAGCATGATAGGACAAGGAGAAAATCAACCCTGTTCAAATGTCACTTTGACTGTTCTCTGCTTGGGGCACAAAAAAATATATACGGTAGATTGTATGCACTGCCTGACAGGTAGCGGTAAGTGCTCAAGTGTCTTACCAGAATTCATACAGCATCGCCAAGTAAAACGACCGTATCACTTGCGCCGTTGTCTATTTATCAGGTGGTTTGCGCCTGTTTGCCGGTACTGCTCCTGAACAAAATGGATGCATCAATGATCATCAGTGTAAGTGTTGATACATGTTGATACCAAGAACCCCACCTTTCAGTAGCTGGAATGCAGCAAAACACAACACGTTTGGCCTAGATGTTCCTTGCAGCAGTAGTGTCTGCCCCTCTACTCCGTGATCGTTGCAGGCAAAACACCACTTAGCGCTGGCGATGGCATCCTGGACACAGGCAAATGCAAGGGGCAGGGTATTTGTGACTAGAGGCGGATGAGGCGGAATGTAGAAAAGGTCGATTTAATGCGATATCTCATCTCTGTCGAAACAAGTCTTGACATGTCCGAGAACCGGTATTGGTCGCATGTAGTCTACTGAGTCTACTGATTGTCTTTCGAACAGCAACTGTGCAAACTGCTTCGAGGCATAATTGAACAGCAGCCGACCCTTGTATGGAGTTCCGTTGCACATACATAGTTACATAATCATGCTGAACTTGATGGGCTTTGTATGTTTTTACATGGTTTAGCAGCAACCAATTCCAAGCAGATTTCCCTTCGAACACAGAAACTAAAGAAACCACTCCCATCCCATCCCCGTCATATCCTATACGATCTGCACAAATAATCACAAATATACCATCAATATCTGCAAAATTCTGCGAACCAAATGTGAATTGATTGCTGCACAAAGGTGCCTGCTAATGAAGCGCCCCAGGTCTATGGCAGCTTCCCAAAGCAGCGTCCCAGAACGTTGGTCCACACTGGTTGGAGCCATCGCCTCTGCCATGCCAATCATATCCATACATCTTGTACCCCCATTCCCTTTGCAAATTTTCCAGGAATGCTGGGTACCAAGAATTCCGACCAAGAAAAGCTCCTTGTCTACGATTTTAGGTGGAAAGGTCTTGTGCATGTCAAGTATTTTTGAACAAATCTTGTGTATTCTCTTGTCATTTTCCTATCATTATGAAGGTCAACCCCGACTGATCAGCTTGACGTCACCTCCAAGTGTACTGTAGTTTCCATTCTTAAAGTGCTGATTCTAAAGTGTTTCTCCATGGTTTTCCGCTAATAATCATAATATTTCATCTTTTCATCTTTTCCATTCTTTTCCCTCAATCGTTGGAAAGAATGTGGCAAATTCAAGCAGGTTATCCAAGCCGTTGCCTCAAGGTTGGTGTCTTCGTCACACAAAATCCGCAAGGGCCGCGGCAAATCCACAGCAACGAGGTGCGACTTGGTCTTGTGGAGTTCATCTGGAGAGTCGGCTGTGTCAAGTCAATTGGAGGACAAAGAAATCAAACCATCAAACCTATTTCTTGTTTATACACATTTATACTATTTTATATTCATCCGCTTTCTTACTTCTTCTTATTTCCTCTACAAATGTCTTATAATTATATACAGAATATCACGGATATCTGTTCCACATTTTTTGGGCATACTTTGTTTGTTATTCTCGATTCTTCTTTGCTTGGCAGTGCTTTGATTCACAGGGTCTCAACATCCGAGCTACATCGAGCTACCCTCTACCCAACACCGATATGCAGTCCCATCGCCTGGCACTTCTATCTCAAGAAACACGGCGCTGGTATTTTTCGGCGCATGCTCTGCTGCGGCGTCCGTTGCTTCCGCCATGGCATGAACTGTTTACATCCTGTGTATTTCCATTGGTGAAACCCAATTGGTACTGCTCAACGGAGTGTCCTTCCACTGTTATCCAGCGGAGGTACACACACAACAGATTTCTGAGCACCACTGTTGGCATGCAAATTTACTCCCAAGGTCAGCATCGGCCACAAAATCAAACATGCAGTTCTCTTGGTACATTCCAAGCATAAGCCCCTCCATGAACGGTCATTCTTTGAATGTGTTCCTCCGGTCCTTGCTTTTTAAATTTCACACACACGCACAAGATGAAACTTCCAAAGGAGATACGGTTGGGAATTTCGTGACAATTGGACTTCTCCCGCATTTGAGTCAACCACTTATTGTGTACTCAATACTATCTACATTGGCTAGCGGACATGGTTTCTCTGTTGGGATTTGACAGATTTGATGGGATTTCTAATGATCATAATGATTATTTTGATAGTCTCGATCAACCAATACCGTCCATTTCTTCTTATGAATTACATGCATGATGGTGTCACAAAAATGAACTGCAAATTCAACTTCGCACTTCTGCCACCCGGAAAACACTCTGGAATGATCCAACCAGTTGGGCTATCTCAGGTTTCAACGCACCGACAGCCATTCGCAGTGCTCGACCGTCAGGTTCACCGGGAGGTGGAAGGAACTCTCCTTTCCTGAATCAAAAAACACTTGTTGCAATGCAAAAGAATGGATGAAGCACGGCCACCTGCCAACCCTGGCTTGATACATCCACCCCAAGTATTCGATATCAAGAGAATATTACTATAATGACTAAGGCCAAGGGTAAAGGAATCTACATGATGCTAAATGCAGGTATTGTAGAAACACGTAGAAACAATCTGTAAACCAATTTGAAACGATTTGATCTTCAGCTTTACGTCCTTGTCAGGTCCGCTCAGGTCCTTGTCATTCCTTGTCAGCCTTCCCGTGTGCCAACTCAAGGGCCTATCCCAGGGGCCCTGGGGCCTGGTATCTTTGTCGTACCATCATTGAAGTAGACCTGTTGCGCCGTCATTTCGCTGGTGAAGTTGGCTTTGAAAAGGGGCCATTCCGCTCTTGTGAGATTCTGCGAGTCCCTTTTGCCAAACTCTGCATCTTTTCTCAGAAGGGTCTGCTGGGAAAGATTCTATCACTGCACAGCGGTCACAGGCGGCACTGAGCTGAGACCCTTACTCCTCCACCAGTGTCGCTCCAAGCCCGCCAATCCTTTCAAAGCGGCAATCCATCGACAAAAAACAAACATGAAAAACATACATATATATAATTATATATATATATCTATATAATGATTGTTGATCAAAATTCCTTTATCCGGGAACGGGCATTCTTCGCGAATAAAAATGTTACTTTCGCGAAACTTTCGCGAACTCCATGTTTATCTTTCGCGGAACCTATGTTAGGCAATCATGAAGTCCAACTTTCGCTAAACTTTCGCGAAAAACATGTTACATTCGCGAACTCGAAAAAACTTTCGCGAGGGTTTCCAACATAACATGCACGGCTTTCGCAATTAAAACTCCTTACATGGACCTTTAGATCGACTACCATATATATTATAACATACAGACAGACAGACATGACATGACATGACATTACGTTACGTCACATTACATCACATTACATCACATTACATTAATTAGATACATTACATGCGTTACATGCATTACATTTATCATATACATTACATGTGTTACATGCATTACATTCATTACATACATTTCATACATTACATGCATTACATTCATTACATGCATTACATCCATTACATACATTAAATACATTACATACACTACATGCACTACATACATTACATTACATTACACATATAACATACATAACATACACACTTACGTAGCATACATACCATACATAACATACATAACATAATTACATAACATACATACATGATCATACATTACATTAAGTTACGTTACATCACATTACATTACTGTACATGACATTACATTACCACACACACACACACGCAGTAGTTATACTTAAATCGAAATACGTGGAGGATATATAGCTATTCGGAATAGGCTATTCGCATGACTTATTGGAAAACATGGGAGCGTAGTGGCTTCCAGCTGCTTTTAAAGTTTTTCGTTCCTCGAAGCGGATACCTGCCCAATTCATTGTGAAACGTTGAAACATTTAAGAATATTTAAGATGCATCTTTTCGCAGAGCCACAATCCGACACAAACCAAATGGGCGTCTGGCACAAACGCTCGCATCCAGGACATCATCCACCTGAGTTTGGTCAAGGCCTCTTTCATGGCCTTCATGGACGAACCTGTGGATAGAATATGACAGAATATGTTAGAGAAGTGGAGAAGTGCCGCCCCGCTGGATTTTGTACACGGTCAGTGTGCTTCACTTTCTTCCCCCCGAATCTTAAACGAATGCAATCAGCATCATTCAACGAGCAAATTCAATGGTCCTATGGAGCGCTTGCCAAGGTAACTGGATGGAAAAAACAGATTGCACGCACTGAACAGTGTTAATCATGTTAATCTAGCAGCTGATCAGTAGGAACAATGCCTTCTGAGCTCTTCAAGATAGAGATTGCAGAAAAAATCATTGACCGACCCCATCTCAACCTGGGGTCATATCGAGTGGCTGTATTCAGCTGGATCGCCACTTGAGCGGGACCCAAGGCCGTGGAGGCCAGTGCTGCGAAGACCTTGGTGCGGTGCAATGCTGCAGAACTGGAAATGGCTGGTCTTTTGAACATGTTCAAGATTGATCAAACTTGTTGAAATACCAGTAATTAGTGCCGCACAAGGCGGTGGCGGAAGTTTCAAAGATAGGAAACTAGAGGAGAGGTGAGTTGTTGTGATGCATGGATGGCAGAGCGAATCCATTGATGGACCGAGAGGTGGTTGTGATTTTTGGAGTGGTTGCGGTGGTCACCTCACCCACAGTTGCAGGATGTAGTGTGGTGTAGCGAAGCGCACTGTAATTGTAATTGTAGTGGTAGTTGTAGTTGTAGTTGTAGTGTAGTGGTAGTTGTAGTTGTAGCTGCAGTTGTAGTTGCAGTTGTAGTTGCAGTTGTAGTTGTAGTGGCAGTTGCAGTTGTAGTTGTTGTAGTTGCTGTAGTTGTAGTTGAAGCGCAGTTGAAGTTGCAGCTGTAGTTGCTGTAGTTGAAGTGTAGTTGAAGTGCAGTCGTAGTTGTAGGTAGTAGTTGCAGTTGTAGTTAGTTGCAGTTGTAGTTATAGTGATGTCGGAATGTGTTTGAAGGTGAAGTTAAAGTTGTAGTTGTAGTTGTGGTGTAGTTGAAGTGTAGTTGAAGATGTTAGTCGTACTTGTAGTTGTAGTTGTAGTGTAATTAGTGTAGCGTAGTGTTGTGTAATGTAGTGTTATGTATATAGTTGTAGTCGTAGTTGTAGTTGAAGTTGTAGTGTGATGTAGCGTAGTGTAATGAAATTAGTGTAGTGTAGTGTCATGTAGTGTAGTGTACTGTAATCAGCGTAGGTATTGTTTACTGTAGCGTAGTATATTTGTTTTTGCATTTGCAGTTGTAGTGGTAGTGTAGTGTGGTTGTAGTTGTAGTTGCAGTTGTAGTTGTCTAGCTATCTAGCTATCTAGCTATCTAGGTATCTAGCTATCTAGCTATCTATCTATCTATCTATCTGTCTTTCTGCAAGTTTGAAAACGAAGCAATTCTGAGAGACTTTCTCATTTTTTGAACTTGACGACCTCAAAAACCAAGCAACTCTGCGAGACTTCCTCAATTTTTGAAGTTGACAACATCAAAACCGAAACAATTCTGCGAGACTTCCTTCAAAAATGGAAAGTTGAGTGCAGAGCTGACAGCCTCGTGCCAATGCGTTTTCCGATTTTTCCACTTCACCTGTCTAAAGTACTGCGCCTGCCACGAAAAAGTGATGCCAGGTCATACGAAGTGCTGCAAAAACATTTTAGCAAACCTCAAGATCTAATGCTCCAAAATGCAACCTCTCTCAGGAAATCAACGCCCTGACCTCCGAACATCTCTGATGAACATGTTTCTTGTACTGCGCCTGCCACGCGAAATGCATCTGTCCAGATCCTCTTCAAGTGTCCCACGCCTGCCATCGTTTTTGGAACTGCTACAAAACTTTTACGTTTTGCTCACTTTTGGCAAGGTGCAGAATCCCTTGCGCCTGCCACGCAAAACCACACCTGAACCTTCAAAAGTGGTGCAAGCATGTGGTGTTTTTAACATTTTGACTTGGAAATGTGCTTCGCGCCACAACGGCGTGCACTTTTTGCTCCTCTCAACTTCCAAAAGTGCTCCGAACCTGGTGTGTTTTATAGATTTTGACTTCGAAATGTGCTTCGCGTCACAGCGGCGTCTACTTTTTCGACATGTTAACTTCCAAAAGTGCTCCGACACTGAGGAGTTTTGTGCATTTTGACTTGGAAATGTGCTTCGCGCCACGACGGCGTGCACTTTTTCGCATCTCAACTCCCAAAAGTGGTCCGAGCCTGGTGTGTTTTCTACATTTTGACTTCCAAATGTGCCTCGCGCCACCACGGCGTCCAATTTTTCATCTCTCATCTGGCCAGATGGCTCCGCGCCCGCCGCTTTAGCGAGCCTACTTTTCGACCCTCCGGAGCCACAAACCACTTGAAAAACACAGTGAATCGCGCCTCTTATACCTTTTCGCGCACCTGCATCTTCTTTCCTCTGACTCTTTCTCTTCTCTGATCTTCTCTCTTCTTCTCTTCTCTTCTCTTCTCTGACTCTTCCAACCTCTGCTTTTCCATCTGTCCATAGTGTCAGAAGTTTGACTTCTAAACTTCCTTCGATAATATTTAGCAACATGTTAAAAAGCATTGACTGGATTCGGTTGGTAGCGTGCAAGAGTTCAGGGCCCTTATCTACCCTCTGCCATCCTCTGCCTTGTCTTTTCGCAAGATCACATCATATCACATCTATCAATCATCTATCCCCATAACATTGCTCCCAGCGGGATTCCTGGCGCAAAACCACACGAAGGAGGAGATGACGTTTGGACCTGCGTCCCAACCACAAAATCAGCGTCCATTTGTACCCAAAAGATCCTGAAAAACTCAAAGCAAAACAAACTCCAAAGTTCCACTACAACCCGCTTGGATAAGGAACCTTTCTCAAGGATCTGCTTAAGGCCACTGCCACAATTAAACGGAACCACCCGGGTCAAGGAAACTGTTGGATTGGCTCGGACCCCGAAGTGCTTGGAATAACTCTGGAGGAAGCCAGAAATCCTTCCCTTGGCCAAGAATGTCCTGTAGTGTGCACTCGATAGAATACAAGTTACCTGCACTTGCTTGCCTTGACGTTCATGACAGCTTTCTAGCAGCGTGCACGCGGGGTTCACCATGATTAGTTGAATCCCACCTTGGCTGCGCTGACAAAGCCCTTGATCGCACTGAAGATTGCTGGAAGATATCAAAGGTTATTATCTAAAGCCTAAAGCAGCTATGGAAGCAGGTGCGCGAAACAAAATAAATCAAAACCACCTTTTCAAGATTCATGATTTCATCCTCATTGACTTTCATTAATTACATAGTGCAACTCCTTAACTGGAATTCCAAGTGCTTGGCCCACAAAGAGCAAGGCTAAGTTGATCAAGGCCTCAAACACACAAAAACTTCGTGATCATGTTGTTTCATACAACTACTGGTTTGGAAGAAACTAAAACCACTTCTGAGCGGTGTCTTGCCTGTGGACATGCCGTTTTGACCAGTTACATACCTATCCTTCGAAGGTGGCACTGGACATGACATTTGACGATCCTAACCTCTACAGTAGTAACTCACAGTTTTTTGAAGGATCCTTTCAATCTGAGCAGTTGATTGAGAAACTCCAGAACAATGATTGCAACTTGGTTAGTGCCCAGACTTTTACCGCGTCGGGCTGGTAGAAGCTCGCGCGTGTTTTTTTGGGAGAATGATCAAATCTCCTGTGTTTCACAGAGTTTTTGTTTTGCTGGAGTTTAGAAGAGCAAAACGAACTAACTTTTTGAAGGACGTGGGGATGGTTTCTGAAAACCCCCAAAGACACAAACATCCCGGCGGGGTGACAACCGCGCTGGCAATTGTCCATGTTTGGGAATCAAATGTGCTTGGCGCCACAGCGCCGTAATCATTTCAGGTTAGAATTGCACCTTGAAATTCCCAGGGATTTTGAAGACCTATTGTAACATTCCATTGGGTTTTACAAGGCAAAACTTCTTCAAAGCACAACGTTTTTTCATCCGTGCGTATGTGCAGGAAGTATGTATGTGTGTGTGTGCAAGAAAAGATGTCTCTAGCGTAGCATCAAGTATGTGGGTAAGTGCAAGAAAAGATGTATATAGCGATGCAGGAAGTATGTGTGAGTATGTGTGTATGTGCAACAAAAAACATCTGTGGGGTAGCATGAAGTATGTGTGCATGTGCAAGAGAAGATGTCTCTAGCGTAAAAAGAGGAGTGTGTGTGAGTGCAAGAGAAAATGTCTCTAGCGTAGCAGGAAGTATGTGTGTATGTGCAATTGTATGTGTAGGTGCAAGAAAAGATCTCTCTAGCATAGCATCAAGTATGTGTGTAAGTGCAATTGTATGTGTAGGTGCAAGAAAAGATGTCTCTAGCATAGCATCAAGTATGTGTGTAAGTGCAATTGTATGTGTAGGTGCAAGAAAAGATGTCTCAAGCATAGCATCAAGTATGTGTGTAAGTGCAATTGTATGTGTAGGTGCAAGAAAAGATGTCTCAAGCATAGCATCAAGTATGTGTGTAAGTGCAATTGTATGTGTAGGTGCAAGAAAAAATGTCTCTAGCGTAGCATCAAGTATGTGTGTAAGTGCAATTCTATGTGTAGGTGCAAGAAAAGATGTCTCTAGCATAGCATCAAATATGTGTGTAAGTGCAATTGTATGTGTAGGTGCAAGAAAAGATGTCTCAAGCATAGCATCAAGTATGTGTGTAAGTGCAATTGTATGTGTAGGTGCAAGAAAATATGTCTCTAGCATAGCATCAAGTATGTGTGTAAGTGCAATTGTATGTGTAGGTGCAAAGAAAGATGTCTCTAGCATAGCATCAAGTATGTGTGTAAGTGCAATTGTATGTGTAGGTGCAAAGAAAGATGTCTCTAGCATAGCATCAAGTATGTGTGTAAGTGCAATTGTATGTGTAGGTGCAAGAAAAGATGTCTCTAGCATAGCATCAAGTATGTGTGTAAGTGCAATTGTATGTGTAGGTGCAAGAAAAGATCTCTCTAGCATAGCATCAAGTATGTGTGTAAGTGTAATTGTATGTGTAGGTGCAAGAAAAGATGTCTCTAGCATAGCATCAAGTATGTGTGTAAGTGCAATTGTATGTGTAGGTGCAAAGAAACTCTAGCATAGCATCAAGTATGTGTGTAAGTGCAATTGTATATGTAGGTGCAAGAAAATATGTCTCTAGCATAGCATCAAGTATGTGTGTAAGTGCAATTGTATGTGTAGGTGCAAGAAAAGATGTCTCAAGCATAGCATCAAGTATGTGTGTAAGTGCAATTGTATGTGTAGGTGCAAGAAAAGATGTCTCTAGCATAGCATAAAGTATGTGTAAGTGCAATTCTATGTGTAGGTGCAAGAAAAGATGTCTCTAGCATAGCATCAAATATGTGTGTAAGTGCAATTGTATGTGTAGGTGCAAAGAAAGATGTCTCTAGCATAGCATCAAGTATGTGTGTAAGTGCAATTGTATATGTAGGTGCAAGAAAATATGTCTCTAGCATAGCATCAAGTATGTGTGTAAGTGCAATTGTATGTGTAGGTGCAAGAAAAGATGTCTCAAGCATAGCATCAAGTATGTGTGTAAGTGCAATTGTATGTGTAGGTGCAAGAAAAGATGTCTCAAGCATAGCATCAAGCATGTGTGTAAGTGCAATTGAACGCTATTGGCCCCACTCCACCCACCCCCCCACCCCATACCCCCCTCCCAAACCACCAAAGATGCATTTCGTATTGCGATGTTCTACCAGCCCGACACCTTTTACAAGGGTGCCAAGGTCCACCAAGTCCGGGCAGTTGACAACGGAAACTTCCAAACATTGGATTTTCACGGTTGGAATGTCACAGCAATGCCCCTGTTCAACAGAATCCAATTTCTAGGCTATGGATGGCTGTGCCGCAACAGCGGGCATGGGATGCATAGGGCGACTACCAATAAGGGACCAAAAACTCCTCCGAGTAGGCCAGAAGGGCCTTGGCTGGATGGGCCCTTTGCCGATTTGCCCACTTCAAGCATCTTCAAACTTCTTTTCCCGAGAAGATGCATGAAAACTTGTTTGTTGTATCCTGCTCAAACTTTTTGGTGTCTTCATCTTCACAGTGTTGAATCAGATTGGCTTTCAATGCTCCTTGCGTTCCTTTACATGACTGAAGCTGTCCCAGGACTATGCGCACGGAGTGTCGGAGGACTGTTTGTGAGGCGGAGTGTCGTGACTAGCACTGGTAAATCAAGTTAAGTCCGTGAAACACCCTTGTGGGCCTAGATGTTCAGATGTTCAACTTTCAAGTCGAATTTTGGCAGTAGCGGAGCATTGAGGAGAAGTCGTTTGCACTTTTTGTGTCTAGGCCATCCGCACCCAAGAGAAGTCCGAGCAAGCATAGGATGTATGCACCAATGCCTGAGGAGAGAGAAATTACTGTAAGTCGGCAGGCGTTGGAGTCTGGTTCTACTGCAGTGACCTAAGACTGTGCCAGGAGAATCACTTACAGTATTTGATCTTATTTGTATCAAGAATCGCTGAAGCATAGAAGGCTTTGCCAGGTGAGGAGTCAGGATGTGTCAAAACTAACAATCTCAAGCATGGAAAAAGGGGCGGCTGTAGTTCACATGTCTCATGTTCACAGTCCCAAAGGGTCCCAAAGGATCCTAAAAGGCCATTCTGCGCATTTTTGAGATGTCAAACCCATGGTCATCAGGGTCGCAGGCTGAAATGTGAGCCAAACTCAAATGTCACAGGACTGGGACGCGTCCTGCGAGTCCTTGCTGCAGCTGGTCGGCAAGGCCCATTATCCTGACCTTTGTGGAGTTGGAAGTCGATGAGAGGCTGCTTCGGTAGTTTTCGATCTAAACCCAACAAACATAGCAATGTAACCAAGAGACATGTGAACTTAACATAGCAAATGTTGGGCAAACACAGCAAACTTATAGACAATTCTTGTCTGTTCGTGACAGTTGAGCTTGGACAAATCAATCCTGACCACTTTGTTTGCTGGCGGCAACCAATTTTGTCGAATACCAAACGTCATAGCTGAGCAGAGAGCAAGGTATATATATACACATATATATATATATATGCACAAAACGCACACGTACGCAATATATTTAGACATTTTACATTCATTCTATACATCATTTTACAGTAACATACGTATACATACGTATACAATCGTATACAAATCGTATACATACGTATACACTCACTGTATGTAACTGTCATATGATATCACATGATCATCTATCCTCGACACAAAGATTCTGACAGTAGTGGATAGTTCGAAGCACTTCCCAGAAGGCACAAGCAGGTCAAACAGAAGGACAGCGAGACACCGGCTGCAAAGTAAGGGCTTCCCACCTCGTGTCAGGGAGGCAGCTTCTTCTTCAGCCATAACATGGCGGGAATCGGGAACCTAACTACGGCACCGGACGGCACCTGTGCTCTTTTCGGCCTTTCCGTGATGAGTCGGCTTTGCTTAAGCACATTGAAACGATTTGAAACGCACATTCCCAAGCTTCGAGGCAGTGTTGGCTTTCGACTGCCAGGCCCAATTGTAAAACTTTGGGTTTGCATACTGCTTAAGTTCAGCCATTGTGTCGTCATATCCTTTCACTCTTTATTGTTCATTTTCATTGATGCATTGATCAGGAACATTTTGCTTTTCTTCCGACAGTTTTCCACCTCCAGTTGTGGGGCTTTTCTGCCATTAAGATCCATTAAGTATTTCCGATGCAACGAAGCTGAGCCAAGGTTGCCACAGGAGTTTTCCGTCTTTGTTTTGGAGACACACGGACTCAAAACGATTCGAGAGTTTCACATCGGCATCCTTTCTTTAGCAAAACAGAAAACCATAGAAAACCCCTTCAAATCTAAATTAGATACTGGCACAGTGCTTCAATGTCAAGAGCTTCTCCGCACAGGAGACATTCTCCACAACGATCAGGATGCAATTCTTCTCAGCTCCAAATGGCGCCTTGTTGTTGAATAAATTACTCGGCATTTGCTAGCTGGCATCCTTTGAAGTCTGTAGGACCGAAATGGAATCTGCAAGAGCTGTCAACTCAAAAATGCATTCTATGCATCGGTCTCTGTCATCGCTATTTTTGGATATTCTTGGCCGCTCCATGTACATGCTTTGTGGGTCTGAATCTCCATTTGGAGACAAACCAAGTCAAGCAGCCATGGCTTCGTCTCTGGTAGCCATTTCCCAAAAAGAGGGAAGGATAAAAGCAGCCACCAGCTGGTCCAATCATAGTGTCTGGGGGTGACATGAAAGATTCCTATAAGTTTCAACAGCAAAACTGATAGTAGTCTCATTTAGTCTCATGATGTCTCATGAGTTTCGGATAGTATCATGTTGGATCCTTCATGATCTACCCCCATTGTGAACAAGTCACCAATCTTAAAGCTGGGGCTGTACGTTCTCAAACAGCACACAATGAAGACAAAAAGGTTGATTGTTTTTTCAGGTTTCGTCCCATACTCTGCCGCTTGCGGCCGTAAGATGCCTTAAGCAGTCTCTAGATGTCTCTAGTATGTACAACCCTTTCGATCATGCCCTCTCAGAGGGACAGCGCGAAACCCTGTTCAGGGACAAATCGATGTCAAACATTGTCAAAACCATATCAAACTCTTTTAGTTGCGAACGATTATCATCACCATGGTTTATCCCAATCGTTAAAATCCTGGACACTGCATGACACTGCTCAGATTTGGTTCTCAGATATCACCAAAGAGGATGAACCGGAGGCAATGGAGGCCTCACACCAAAGCAGGAAACCATTGCATGAAAAACATCGAACAAATTCGAACAACTACATTTCCCCCTTCTCACATTCCACCCATTTGCATCATTTGACCCTACCTCACAATCTCACACTGTTTACCTTCATTTGAGCTACAATCCTTTAGGGCCTTGGGGCTGTTTACCTTGATTATACCTTGAGAAATGCAGATCCCGCTCCTGAGCTCCTGATACCTGACAGATGTTCTAAGTCCTACAAAGGACATGCAAAAAACTTGCGGTAGGCTCAAACGTGAGGTGCTACAAAGGCACTAACGATCGGTTCTGTAGATGTGCTTTTTTTCCAACTTAATAATGGTTCTGTAGCGGCCAGGCCGGTTAGGCGGCTCTGAGTGGAGGGCCCATCTGCATGAGGGCCCAGGACGTCGTAGGAGGAAGCCTCAGTAAGCAACCCGGTCGCGAAGCAAACTTGCTGAACCAGTCAGCGAAAGAATGCGACCGTATGCAAAGGTGAAGTGCATCCTGAATCCTGGTTAAGTCTGGTTATTGAGTGGCCACACTGCAATTTTGACTCCACATGGTCAGTGGCCAGAACCGTATGAACATTTATGAATCATATCTGAAAATCCTTCTGTGCTGTACCAGTTGGTCTGGCTGGGATTCCAACAGCAACATGTCAAAACGGCATGACTTCTCAGGGAGGCTCAACAATTTGCAACGCATTGCGTACTGTAGCAATAATTTTTCCGCTTGACATACTTTGCCACTGTTGGCATGCACCTTGTCGCATCTTGTCACATCTTGTCACGTCTTGTTGCATCTTGTCATATCTGGTCATATCTGGTCATATCTTGTCGCGTCTTGTCGCATCTGGTGACATTTTGTCACATCTTGTCTTGTCAGTCGTGTCTTGTCGCATCTGGTCGCATTTTGTCACATCTCGTCACGTCTTGCCAGATCTTGTCGCGTCTTGTCAAAGCTTGTAACATCGTGTCACATCCTGTCAAATCTTGTCGCGTCTTGTCGCGTCTTGTCGTGTCTTGTCAGATCTTGTCACATCTTGTCGCGTCTCGTCAGATCTTGTCTATGCATGTCTGAGCTGTCTTTGTAGGACTCCGTGCTGCTGCATCCGTCTTGTTCCGGTAGGTTCTCTCAGCAGAGCTGCGTCCATGGACAGCCTGACCTTGGAAATTGATGGAAATTGGACATGTCTTGTGTTGTTGCGCCAGTCCCTGGATGCGTGGCTCTGTACGAACATTCACCTTTCATGATGAAACACCTGCACTTAACGCTTTACTGGGTCCAAGTCCAATGAATCAGGAATATCGATTTGTTTCGATTCGCAATACTTTTAATGCCACCCTAGAAGTGAATAGTTTCGATGCCGATCAACCGGCAAAACAAGTCGCACTCAAGCCTGCACTTGCGCAACTTTGCAACGCGCATTGCTTGACTTTTAAAAGATTAGAGTTCTTCGGATTTTGTAAATGCAACAAAATTTGGACCCAAAGTACCTCGAAAACATCGAAATCATTCAACATCAATATACATCAATCTAAGATCTAAAATAATCCAAATCTATTCGGTCAACTGCTCCATCCTAAGCGAGCCGACGTCCGGCAAAGGGACCACCAGGCATGCGAGGCCAGGACATCCTGACATCCATTAGACATTTCATGACATTTCATATTCTTTCACTGGATTGGTTTAAGGGAAAATCTACAGGAAACCATGGTTTTTACCATCAAATATAGGGCTTTCCTGTAAATTTTCCCATCATCCAATTCTATGGATGGTTGTGTCTCAAGATGTCTCAAGCTTCCAAAGCTGCAGCGGGCAGGAAGATGCAGGAATGAGATTAGGCTGCGATTGCAAGTGCTAGAGTCTGGAGGGCCCAAAACGGCGCCAAAACAGCTGCAATGGTGATCAAGGAAGAAAAAAACATGAAAAAAAACATCTTGCCCCCAAAAAAGGAATCAAAATTATATATGTGTCGTGATCCATGAGCCCCATGCTCAAGGAAAGACAGCAAGGACCTGCAAAGAATCGTTACTGAAGCGTTCGCTTTGCAGCACAAACATCGCTCACATCACAGCCACCATCGAAGAGATCACCAGGCCGACCACAACTGCCCCCGTAACAACAAAGTCTGATGGAAACTCCCAGACCCACAGCCAGAAGGCGAGGAAGGGAAAGAAGAACATGCATCACACAGACACACACACACACACTCACACTCGTACCCCCTCAGTTTTTTGACATGAACCTCCCTTGGCGACCCCTGGAGCCACCACACCTGTAAAAACACTGTGATTCGCGCACTTCCATTGTTTATCCTTGTTTCACACGCAAATTCACAGGCTCCCAGGCTTTTACCGCTAACATCTGCTAACTACTCCTGTTGCTACCTCTATAGTTACCTCTGAATTGACTTGATGATATGAAGACTGACCATAAACATTCGTCCGTAACTCGGAAGTGTGTGAACTAAACTTCCTTTGAGAATATGCTCACACCCATTGCCAAGCTGACAGCCAGAGAAAGTACAGCAATGGAGGCAAACTTTGCAGGCCTCATGGTGCGGCGAATCGTTGCAGACTCCTGACGTGGAGGGAGGACAAGTGCAAACGTATTACGTTCCAAGCTCCCAAGCCTGGAACATCATCGGAAACGAGCAAGAATGATCGAAACTGACGCAGAAGTACAGGCCAAGGTGATCGAACAGTTGCACAAACAGTTGCAAGGCCCTGTGCCAATTGTGTGCAATTGAAATCAATTGATATCAATTGAACATATTGTTGGGTCCTTCCCCGTTTAATCTTGTTTATGCGTCCAATTTGTCTCCAGGCGGTTTTGTATACGGGGTGCGATTCTAGAACAAGCCAAGATATTCAATTCGGCATGTTTGTAGTAGAGCAAGGACAACGAATTGACGTGAAGTGAGGAAAGTTTTCATTCCTCCTCCTGCATCTCTTTTTTTTCCCATCTGTACTCAAATAGGTGGAGCAGTCAAGTTTCAAAAGCAACTATATAAGTAGTATATAGATGTATATAGTAGTATTAATTACATAACTCAGCACGACTTATCTATCAACGCAAAGAAACACCCAGAATGAGGATAACAGATGATAAAATCAGCAAACTTTTTGGCCTCCTTCGCCTCCTTCATACACATTTTAGCCAGAAATCATCACGCCCTTATCGAGCTCTCCTCCCGAGGCAATGTTTGAGCCATTTCACCTGGAGGCTGCGATCCGCAGCGGACTCAGGCACATCAGTGGCACATCAAGTGTTGCATGGGCAAAATGGGCAAAATGGGCAAAGATCATGGAGGGTTCTAATAAGGACTTTATAAGGACTTTAAGGACGTTGATGTAACATGATGTACAGATTATGTACAGATATGTACAGAATATTAAAGAATTCTAAAGGCACCTGGACTGGATGGTTGTCGCAATACTGTGCCAAATCTGCTACTTTGCTATAGACATGTTACAAACAAAATGAGTAGAAAGTAGAAACATCTCCCTTATCAAAACTCAGTGGGGAATTTTGATCGAGCCAACTTTCTTTGCACCATGCCTGCAGGATTGCGTACTGGCCTAAGAGGGGATTCCAGGACAACATGGCCACGATGGGAATATGCATGAATAATCATGAATATACTACAATAATACTACAATAATTTTAAAATGATATGATATGGATGTGAGCACCCAGCTGTGCTGGTTTGACTTTTTTGCCCAAGCAATTTCCAGACCATTGAAGGAGAGTGTATCCATGTGCATTGTCTTGTCAACAAAGAGGTGATAGTTAGCAAATTTTTATGTTGTGATCGTGTTGCGAATGTCAATGCTCTGTGGAACGCTGTACACTTTTGATTTGAGAGTCCAGCGTCAGGTTCTCAAAGTTGACCTCACGGCACCGAAAGCAATCTGAGAGGCTATCATTGTAGTGAACATTTACGCAAATGAATCAATGTACTGCAGGTATTCAAGCCGTCTTACTCCGCATCTTCAAAGACATGTAGGTTTGCCTCCCACCCTTCTTGCTTGGTACAAATGCCATCAAATGCCTGCATACCCGGCATACCCGATCTACTTGGTACCCCTATTCCTTGGGGCTCAAAGAGTTGACCCATGTTGCCGTGTGCCTCCTTCCTAGTGTCGTTCCTCTGGTCCAGTGCTGTGCTGTCACCTGAAGTCCGTAGCCGGATCATTGCGAGCCCGCAATTTTCGCATTGTGATGGTTGTGCTGTACGTGCCGTACTACGACTATTGTAACTTCTCCTGGGAATCATTCAAATGGATCTTGAGTCCAATCCTCTTGTCAGAGAGATTTCTGTTTGGATTTCAAAGTGTCAGCAAATGCCCGCAAGTTTCATTTTCAGCAACAAAGGCTGTTTACAATGACTGGCTGAAGAAAGTGTTCTCACACAACTCTTCTGATTCTCAAAATATCTCAAGATGATAAAACCATTGCAAACCAAATGAAACTTTCAGCGGCCAAGCTGCGCTCCCTTTTTCTGGTGCCACGCACGAAGGTCAATTTGGGACTATTTTGTTAAACTATGTGGCTTTGGCCACTCAGTGTAAGATGTGCAGCCTTGTCCGGCTTGCACAGTTTTGGCCCATTCAGCCTGTGAGCAGGGTCCGCAGAAAGACACACCTGATGCAGGCTTTTGCAAGACAGAGAATGCGCATGAAGCTGGGTTGGATTTCATGTGGCATCTTAAACAAAAAGCGGATCAACCTGGAAGCTTCTGATATACAACATATTTTGCCAAACAGAATCGTGTCTGGCGGTTATGCTGTGACAGGGACCCTGACAGGGACCCTGACAGGGACCCTGACAGGGACCCTGACAGGGACCCTGACAGGCTGACAGTAGGCTGACAGCTTCCGACCCTTCCGATGGCCATCTCCGCGCCTGAATCATTTGCCCGCCGTTTTGGGCCGCGTACGGAGCACCCCTCTGGTGCGTGGTGGTCTGATATACCGACCTCAAAGACGTCATAGTCACGGTGAGTCACGGGATAAAATCCGACCATGTGATGCCAATATATGCCAATAAGTTCATCTAGAGATCACAGTGATACATCACCGGCATGGCATGAAGTGTACCCGAATGTATGAGAATGCATAATTTACGCATGCATAGGCAATAAGCACTGTACTGTACAACCTGAAGCCGCATTCAAGATCAAAGGGAAACTGTAAACACAGCCGCAGCAGCGCTTGGATAGCTTGACTGAAGTGCCGACTGATATGCACTATTATAGTCATTTACCCGGAGCGATGGAAAACGACCATGAAATTGGATACTACGACACTCCAAAATGATTTAACTTGATCTATCCAAATTGAAGTTTCCTGGCAAGGACATAGCTTTTAAAGCCTGAAGAAACGTTCAGAGACTAGCAGTAAAACTGCAAACTCTACAATCAGAGTCACTCTACCCCACTGTCCATATCCAACCCAGGCCCTACTTGCAAGGGCAAACCTCCCTCTCAGTGCAGGCAATTATTTCATGCGATCTGACATTCATTATCGAGTCGCGTCTTCTTTTAGCAATCTCAACACGGCCTTGCAATGCGTCGCACCTCTAAAACTCCTGAAGCGATCGACCCCTAAAGTAATAAATCATCATGAACTCATAATGGATTCATCAGAATATAATCATAAAATCTCGTAAAAATCAAAGTGATTCCAATGCGAATCTGAGCAACTTCTGAATCGTGACCTCTTCTCTTCCATCTCGACACGTTTATGGTCTTCCTGAAAGGAAGCTGGGCATTCTCCAGACATTGACAAGACATTCTAAGTTGGAAAATCCATTTGGAAAGCAGACTGCAGTCACGAGAAAATTATCGTGCGGCCGAGCCGCATCGATTGGAGCCTCTGCAATAGCTTCATCCTTGGGCTGCAGGATTGTCAGTAAACATGTCAACGTTGCCAGCATCTTGTTTTCTGGTGGAGCAAATAAGATGGCAGTACTGTCTTTGTTCACCCTACAGAACGTGATGATACGTGATGCGAGTAGTACTGGTGTGTATCACTGCGATTCATTTATATATTTCAGTTGAACTTAATACATGCTTCCTTCAGGTGTACAGCATTATCCATCCTGTGCATACGAAAGCCTCTTAGTCTTGTCAACTCTCACACATTTGGGATTTGTTGGCTGCCAGTGTCAGCACATCCTACTCCAAAGGGAATCTGCATTTTGCATATGGAATCACTACCCGAGCCCATTTGGCTCGAGATGGCTCGAGGTTGTTGCCGTAGGCTTGGGATTCAACGCCCAGCAACCCTCACGCCCCCCAGGCGAGCCTTAAAGACTTGACATTCTTGCAATGGATATCCAACCTTCTGTGCCAAGGAAAAATTCAGCCGAACACCTCAGGAAGTTCCGTGGATGGGGAGATGCTTGCAAGTTTTTAATGTTTTTACCCAAATGGCTGCAGGTTTTTGCATGGAAGTTATGGGAGTGCTACAAGTATGTTATAATGTTGGATGACAAATCTGGAACTGCTGCTTACTGCGACTCTGCGGGTGCTTGACCCGCAAGATCCCCAAGGTGCATTCCACAGTGAATTCAAAAGGTGATGCTTGCCTCAAAAGATAAACAAGGACCAAGGATCCCTTTCTGACAGCTCCTTCTGAACTATAGGTCTGAGAGTCTGAGACGATATTAGAGCAAAAACTTTGCGCGCTCCCAATCATTGGAAATCCAGAACATCAAGCCACCGAGTGAGTGTGCATTCTCACAAACCAGCCAATGATAGCGAGTGGATGCGAGTGGTCTATTTCAGCTCTACCGGGGACTGACACCGTGCACCAATGCATAGTGGATACTCCAGTCCTAAAAAGGTCCAGGACTTCTCTGATTTCAGAATATCTTTGCTTTTTTTTTAAAATGGGAAACAACTTTCTGAAGCAAATGGTAGGTACAAGCAGCTTTCAGCTCCTTAGCAAGACACGGGCCCAGGAGGTGATCTTCTGAATGAGATCCACTTTGAAAGAATCTGTTGAACCATTGCTGAACCATTGTTGAACCAAACTATACAAAAGTCATCAAACATCAAAACGTTTGAGCTGGACTTAGTTGGACTCACCAAGATCTTTCAGCAGTCATTTCGGCTGGATGCAATACTGGTGCAGCACTGCCATTGCTTTGCCACTAAACAAAAAATAGCAAAAACAACATTTTGAGCCATCTTTGATAATCTTTGCATACTTTCAAGAGTCTTTCACGAGTCTTTCAAGGTTCACATCTGGCAGTTCTTAAAGCTGGAGCGCTTTTTCGAATCCACAGATGGTTCGTGTCAAACTGCGTCAGTCTTGCAGCTCTGTTTCGGGTAGGCTGTAGGCCTTCATAAAAGTCCGGGACTCCAAGGATCGCATCTCTGTGCCTCGTTGAACGTTTCGCATGTCCCGGGATTCTCTCTGTGTAATCCGTCATGGTCTGGGACATCAGTTGCTTTTAGAACATATAGAACACTTCCTATAGAGCTTGGACTTGTCCCAGTGCATCCAGTGACATGTAAGATGCCCAGGGATGGTAAAATGCCTCAAACACAAAACCATGTAATCCAGGGCCAGTACCATCGGCTACTTAAGTGCTGTTTGACGTCTGGAAAATCCCGCCAAATGTTCTCAACCGTTGTAATCTGTAGAAGAGCTTGCATTCCATACTTTCGTCACCGATAAGCCTGTGTAGAATCCCTTACATCCCCAACGCCCAGGCTCTAACATTTCCACTTCGAGATGACAAAACCATCCATTCACCGCGTCACAGCTCGAGCATTTATTTCATGATGTCTATCAATGCAAAACGTGTTAAGATCATTTGTGATTCCCGTCACGCCGATCATTTTTGGGCCGGCGAGTGAATTTGGGTCGACCTGGCTTCGTCACCATTGAAACATGATCTGCACAGACCTTCACCAATCCTGTGACGACTTCGTGGGCACCAAGCGACTCCGGTTCTTGGCTTCCCCATGGTCCTTTGCGACCCCTTCCATCACTTTGATGGCTGCGTCCTGTTGCCGCATGCTCACTAGCTGGAAGAATTGACCATATCAAAGACAACCAATGATAGACATTTGTGGATGATCTTGGCTGTATTACTTGATACAAAAAAAGTGAATGGCAAATTTTCCTCCACACCTAGTTTCAGATCTAGATCGTCTTATGAATTTTGTGGATCTCAATACCCAGGGATCGAACCTCATTAAACAACTTCTGTCCATGTCCATTCTCCTTGATTTAGAAACCGAATGAAACCGAATGAAACTCATGGCCACTGATGGCCTCGATTGTCATCTCCATGGCCACAGAGATCCTTCGCAAAAGCCACAAAACTACGGGCACTGACAAGAACTGGTTCGCAAGAAACATCAAGAAACCCACTTGGATGATCTTGGATTCACTTGGTCTAGGGGGAGGTATTTTGCGAGTTCAGAATCCTCTACTTCGAAAGCTCTTGTGAAATCTTGTGACTATCTGAATCTGATACTGTTACGATTGTTTCGCGAACACCGAACGGAGATCCGCCACATTAGCCATAGCCATAGTAACTGGAACAGTGCACACACACATATATATATACTGTATATATATATATACGATGACGTGATCTAATGAAATTCCGCACTTGAAGAAAGCGGTTGAGGACACAACTTCAAGCAAATTCAGCAAGCCATGGTCGCCACCACCAGCAGCACGACACAAACAGAATGGACTGAATCTGAATCAATGATGGGCTGGATCTTTCTAAGATGCTGCATGATGCTGCTATATCTGCGTTTTCCTGCCAATTGTTTTCCAACTGCTATGCAAGGACTGCATCCTTTACTTGAGTTGAAATTGGCACCCTTCAAATTGGATCCTATCAAATTATATCAATTTATATCATATCAATTTATCATCAATTTGACAAGAATGGTGGGTGCATGGATCGTCTGAAGAACATAACATATCATCCAGTACCAGCATGCAGCAGCTTGGACTCCAGCATAGACACTGCAGTCCTCTGGATGATCCCGACCGGATCAGTGACCAAATCTTCGAAGCGCACTAGGAACACGCTTTTGTAGCCAGCTTCCTCCTGGAGCCTAGACAAGATTGTGGTGAAAATGGCCATGGTGACCTGGACCGTGACTGGCTACTGTGCTACATGATGCTACATGATGCTACATGTAGGTCCCTCAGTGAAGAGAAATGAAGAAGCGGTGAGAAGCGGTGAGAATCTGTGAGAAGTATCGAGAAGTGGTGAACAATCAGAATACGCAAAAGTCAACCATGCCGTGAATGCCATGTCCATGTCTGTGTCTTTGACATCACTTGCACGCCTCACCTGCTCCTTACTTGCAACTTTTAGAACGCGGTCCTGACATAACCCCAGGTGTAGGCGTTCCAAATGCCAGGCAAAGACCCGAAGGCTCCTCCAATGATTCCTGCTTCGCTAGACTCGAACAAGTCTTGACAAGTGACTGCCAGTGACAAATCAACATGCTGACCGTTTCGAACTGACCGTTTCGAACGTTCCTTTGCCCTTTACATCTGCCTTTACACATATTTGCAATATTTTGCAATCTTGCATTCATTAAATTGGAACTTGAGAAGCGGAACAAAAGGGAGTGGTCTACCAAAGCTACTTGCGCCTACCCAACCTACCCAGCCCTCCCATGTTCACTATTCTTCTCTTGAACAATCCCGGAATTGGCAAAGCTTTGGCAGAGCAGCCGGCGCCAGGGGGACCATCGGTGCCATCGAAGAACTGGCAAGGCTCGGTGAGCCATGCAGTCTTTGAAGCCTTGGCGAAATCACACATTGAGACACATCGAAACTGCGCTGAATTCTCGGAGACATTTCAAAGATGTGCTACTGATGCTATTGGTATCTATTGGCAATGGAAGACGTTGTCTTCTTGAAATAGAACCGGAGGACAGATTTGAACAGGACAAAAGGATACAAAAGGCTCATCCTTACAGTAGCTTCTTGCAACGGCAAAACTACAACGACGCTCCTGAAGGATTGGGAACTTAGAAGCAATGGGCCATAATGGTGTCACTCAGCAGCAACTGAACAGGCATTTGAAAGACCCAATATCCATCGGCATGATAGTTCGTGAAAGGTGTCCGGTGTCCGGTGCAAATAGAAAAAAAACTTGAGAGAAAAACCATACAAAAGAATCTCCTTGAGCTAACGAATCTCCTATTGTGGCGTCACGAGTATGGACCCAGGATTTGTAAGCTTTTCACAGTATGATCCTTCCATTCCTAATACGATATTTGAATAAATATCCTTGATGGTGGAGCACAAATTCCCAGCATACCTCAGCCACTGCCTCAGCAGTTCCCACCCGGCACAAGTTGCCGAGGGACGCAGTCAGCTGTTGCACCGCTGAAGGGGCATCGCTTCCGCTTTGCACATCGTTCCATACCATAGGGTGCCTCTCGGATCTATTCACGGAGTCCGACACTGAGATCAATCACTGCAGATCTCGACCAGTGAATGAGTGTGAACCATGATGAGAATCAATTACTGTATATATATTTGACAATTCAGTACAGCGTAAAAAGGTTCCTTTCCACTTTCGAATATTTTAGAGCAACGCGTAACCAATGAATTCTACTGGCTGCATAATATAGATGTATATAGATGCAGATAGCATTGAGTCCTGAGTTCAGCTAGAACCTAGCATCAGGAACACTACGATCACAGGTTCGGCATCTATTGGCTGCAAACTATATGAGACCTCATATATATATAGACATAATATATATATAATATTATGTATACATATATATATATACAATATACATATATAATATCTATCTATCTATCTATCTATCAATCTATCAATCTAGCAATCTATCAATCTATCTATCAATCTATCAATCAATCAATCAATCAATCAATCAACAATCATTCAATCAAATCAACTCAACTCAAATCAAATCACATATATATATATAATCGTAATTTCATTTCATATACAATGCACCGTAGAGATGGTTGCTTGACCATCTTTCATGCGGCCCCAAAGACCACAATCGCACACAGTGGCCGCTCAATAGCCTTTCTCCAACTTTGAAGTTGTGACAATGGATCCCTCACCATGGCAACAACAACCTCGATGCAGAGTTTGTGAAGAGTGGTTGCAAGGATGTTGCAAGACAAGATGGAGCCGTTGGCGTTGAATACAATTCTCATCAAATATTGAAAACATTTGGACATACTCTAATAATATTTGATAATATTTAATAATATTTAAGAATATTTAAGAATATTTAACAATATTTAACAATATTTAATAATATTTAATAATATTTAATAATATTTAATAATATTTAATAATATTTAATAATATTTAACAATATTTAATAATAGTTAATACTATTTAATAATATTTAATAATATTTAATAATATTTAATCATATTTAATGATATTTAATCATATTTGATCATATTTAATCATATTTAATCATATTTAGTAATATTCAATAATATTTAATAATATTTAATAATATTTAACAATATTTAATACTATTTAATAATATTTAATAATATTTAATAATATTTTAATAATATTTAATAATATTGAAAAAAATTAATCATATTTAATAATATTTAATAATATTTAAAAATATTTAATCATATTTAATAATATTTAATAATATTTAATCATATTTTATAATATTTAATAATATTTAATATTATTTAATAATATTTAATAATATGTAATAATATTTAATCATATTTAATAATATTTAATAATATTTAATAATATTTAATAATATTTAATCATATTTAATCATATTTAATCATATTTAATCATATTTAATCATATTTAATCATATTTAATCATATTTAATCATATTTAATCATATTTAATCATATTTAATCATATTTAATCATATTTAATCATATTTAATCATATTTAATAATATTTAATAATATTTAATCATATTTAATCATATTTAATCATATTTAATCATATTTAATCATATTTAATCATATTTAATCATATTTAATCATATTTAATCATATTTAATCATATTTAATCATATTTAATCATATTTAATCATATTTAATCATATTTAATCATATTTAATAATATTTAATAATATTTAATCATATTTAATCATATTTAATCATATTTAATCATATTTAATCATATTTAATCATATTTAATCATATTTAATCATATTTAATCATATTTAATCATATTTAATCATATTTAATCATATTTAATCATATTTAATCATATTTAATCATATTTAATCATATTTAATCATATTTAATCATATTTAATCATATTTAATCATATTTAATAATATTTAATAATATTTAATCATATTTAATCATATTTAATCATATTTAATCATATTTAATCATATTTAATCATATTTAATCATATTTAATCATATTTAATCATATTTAATCATATTTAATCATATTTAATCATATTTAATAATATTTAATAATATTTAATAATATTTAATAATATTTAATAATATTTAATAATATTTAATAATATTTAATAATATTTAATAATATTTAATCAGATTTAATAATATTTAATAATATTTAAAAATATTTAATCATATTTAATAATATTTAATAATATTTAATCATATTTAATAATATTTAATAATATTTAATAATATTTACTCATATTTAATAATATTTAATAATATTTAATAATATTTAATAATATTTAATAATATTTAATAATATTTAATCAGATTTAATAAGATTTAATAATATTTAAAAATATTTAATCATATTTAATAATATTTAATAATATTTAATCATATTTAATAATATTTAATAATATTTAATAATATTTACTCATATTTAATAATATTTAATAATATTTAATCATATTTAATAATATTTAATAATATTTAATAATATTTAATCATATTTAATCATATTTAATAATATTTAATAATATTTAATCATATTTAATCATATTTAATAATATTTAATAATATTTAATAATATTTAATAATATTTAATAATATTTAATAATATTTAATAATATTTAATATGCGTTTTTGACAGCTTTTTAAATGCTTTGAGGTGAACTTCTTCATCAGAGACCACAGTGGATGCAGTGGATGCACCATCTTTGCTGACTTGTGCCATAGAAACGCTGCAATTTGGCCTAACAAATCTCTGCGAGTTTCATGACTTGAAAACTGCACAAACCTCCTGCAGAATTCAGCCCACTATGGCTGAGGGGATCGCAATTCGATGTCTCTCGCGGAAGTCCCAGAGCTCTGGGTTCCAGTACTTGGTCTTGTTGCCTTCCAAACTGTTTGGGCTCACACATCTCACACAGGTGGACATCCATTTATGTGAAACACAACCGGGCTTCAGGTGGAAGTTGCTGGCAAAGTGTCTTTGGCTAGCAGCTAGCAGTGACTTCTTGATGCAACATTCAATCTATCTGGGCCACAAAGACCTGTCAACCGTCACACTTCTCCCTTTGTGGATGCAACTTGAAATGTCTGAGATGAACGCATTTAACGCCTTCACTAGCCAGTCTCTGTAGCGTGGGCTATGTGCCGCTCAAATATTGCTAAACAATCTAAACAGGGATGAAACAAAAGCATTCAAGACCAGGGCTTCAAAACACCACCAGGGAGCGATCCACGATGATCCACGCTTGTTTTGTGGAATTCAATGGTGGTTAGTTATGTTTCTTACCATAGGGTGGCTCTAGGTTGCATAGCCTTCAACTAGCCTACACAAGTGGCAGTGTTTGGACAGTCTTCGACATTTTGGGAGTTTAGTTTGTTCGTAACCAAATCCAATCTCTGCGCCTTGAATGGTGCCAAGAAGTTTCAAGGGATTCCTTGGCAGGTGGAATCTCTGGTGAGTTGCCATCTCCCTGACATGTAAGATCCTGAATCGCGACTGGTGGGTTGGTGATTTCCTGATCCAAATCATTTAGAAACCCCCGAATAAAAAGAAGCGTGAGACGCCTTGCAAAACCTTGCAAAACAGCAGCACTGGGCACATCCCCTGAACACATGAGGAGCTATAGCGCAATTACCTGACCTGGCAATTCACTTTGTGCAATATGTTGCCGTTTTTTCAGGCAAAAGCAGTCACAAACTGCTTAGGAAAGGAGACAGTGAGAATAATGGAGAATAATGGAGAATCATGGAGATGGAACAATTTTATACGATCCTAACATTTTCCAAGATCTGCCAAAATTCACATGCTTCTCTGGTGTGGCCCAGGCCAAGCATCGACCTGAGGTCTCAGGGCTCGGGCTGGTTGGCACAAATCAACGAGACACATCTGAGTAAAATTGGGATGTTCAAAACATGGCATGGCCCTAGACTGTGCAGGCAGAAAGGGCTTATCCTGGGCTTACAGCACACTACTATACATGACGGTTATAGGTTATAGTGGCCCTACGGGCCATTAGATGTCACAATAATGGTGACCCTTCGGATGCAGCGGACCATTCACTATGTCACTTGAGGACTTCAGGTGGGCTGGGTGGAATGATGCTTTCAGTCACTGGGGTGATGCTACTTTTGTGGAAAATGTACGTTGTGATACCAAACCCTTTCACATCTGCAGGGTAGGGTCGAGCGGGGTGGGGTAATGTTCAGGCTGTATTGACCTTCCACATGCTCTTGACTTCTTGACACGCCATTTGAGTCATTTGATGTGTGCAGGTACTAGATATGTTCGTGAGGGGATCGACTTTGCCGTGAACTTTTATCCTGATTTGATCGCTACTCTTTGAAGAAATGCGAGCCACTGCAGACAATACGAACTAGATGACACATCAAGAGTCAAAAGGACACCTCTTAAAGTAAGAAGGTGCACATGGGAGCCACACTCAAAAGAACCAGGATGAGTCGCATACCCCAAACATCCAAAAAGCACTTCCCACCGACTTCAGTTCGCAACCTGTCGCAACGGTGGGTTTTGATATGTTTCAAACATGCTTTGATTGTCTGACGCCACACTAAGTGCCAGGGTGCCATGCGGCGCCGCTGGCACTTGCAATCCAGAAATGTCAGGCCGTCGTGCTTGTTGACAGCAAAGTGGGAAATTGCCTTGTCAAAGCGCTGGGCTTGACATGGCTTGACTGGGGATTTTTTTCGGATAGAACTCCGATCAGCGCAGTCGCTGTGCAGATCTGTGCGTCCGACAACATCGAGCTATTGGAACAAGGTCGCTGCTTTTGCAAAATTCCTCCTTGTACTGACGATTGACTAGCATCTTCTACACGCCGAATTTCGCCTTCTAAAGGCAGCCATGTTCCCAAAAAGTGTGCGCAATGGACATTGCTCACTGCAGTACTTCTCGAGATAGCCATCTATAGCGTTTCCTTTCCCGCGGTAAAAGTTGTCAATACAATCCATAATCCCAACATAATTCTATTCATATACAATGATATACAATGTATCCCTGATCCAAGACACCAGCCAATGTTGCCAGCCTTGGTCCGCTTTTGGGAAAATGACCAGTCTTGGCTAGTTTCAGGCTCTGTTTGGCTTGGGGACTTGGTAGTCTGGTTCATTGCACTTAGGTTTAGCATGGTTTAGCTATATACACATATACTCATATACACCGTGTATATTATAGTATAATATTATATACAGACCTTTTCATTGATACAGCACACTAACCGCACTAATGACACAAGACTCTTGTCTTCGTGGGGTCTGACTTCGCTTCGTGCTTCACATACACATGCACACATCTAGAAACAGTGATATGCAGTGACAAGCAGCATGAGATTTGTGCCGCTATCGTACATGCCCATGAGCTGCATGTAGCTCCTTGGCTTTAGGGGCACAAACTATGGGCAATCATCCCAGGGCCTTTAGACAGATACGTCGCTTCCGTCAGTTTAAATTCTCTTAGTATATTTTGTTTATATATTTCAGCTAGCTAGTAACTATTGGTGTAGCTTCCCTCAAGAGGCTCATTTTAGCCAACTTCATGCTCTTGAAATGCACACAACCCTTTCCTATGCCGCTGCCACTTGTGCCCAGGCTCAACTGACTTGTGGCAGGCACAATGCGCTGGTAGACTTTCACCTTGGGTCTCCTACAAGCACTGGCCTCTTTCAGATCAGTACGTGTTCAATCGTGTGATGCTGTCGGGTCAAATACCTTTCGTTAGTTCGAACGCTCGAACGCTGTTTATCTTCGATTTATTGTGCGGGAGGATTGTGCTAGTCGAAATGGTTCCACTGACAGCAAAGAGACGCCTTGATAAAACCTCTGAAAAGGACATGGAAGGGTGAACAAGTGAAGGTTCCAAACTGCAAGAACTTGTACATATCATATATATCATACAATATAATTAACTAAATTTCATCACATTGAATTGAGACGCACCCTAGAACATACGATTTCACAAGGCGTGTGGACCAAAAACAACTGTGCGTCACAAATGCTCTCTGCTTGTATGTGTTGGCCAAAGAAACAACCTCGCTCTTCTGCTCGACATGCACCAATTTCTGGCAGGAAGACGTGATCCTAGCAGGTTGGAAGTTGGGAGTTTTTGGACTTGGATTTTTTGGAAAGGAACATGTGGACAAACACTTGCCATACACTGGAAAGAAACACCACGGCACAGTCATGTTCAGAAGGACTGACTTCGCAGGACTAAATCGGGAAGTTCTGTCCACTTCTGAACAATGGGAAGAGGCAACCCTAAAAACCCAGATTTTTTAAAGGATAGGATTTCTTGAACAATTCAATTTTATCCTTCCACATCCTGCATGACTGCTCGATCTCTGAGAGTTTGTCTCAAAGAGGGTCACTTTGACTAGCGGAAACTCGTTCAATTCTGGTGACGTTGGCATTGAATCATTGAACAAATCACCATCGAAATTCACCCCAAGAGGTCAGGGCCAGCTTCTTGTAGGTATAAACCTGGGGGATTGCAAAAACATACAGAATGGGTACCACTAGGTAAAATTTATCCCTAGAAAATGGCGGGCTTTTGTTCAGAAAAAAAGTCAGAGACCACACCTCTCTTTTGTAGGGATGTATATCTTGCATAAAAATGTCTGATTTCTGTCTTATTCTGAATATGAGCTTTGCTTGTATGCTTGGCACCTGATCCCCAAAAAGGAACTCATTTTGTAAGAAAATGCTGATCTGCCATTTCCCTGCATTTTCCTCACTTAGCCATCAGTTGTCTTGAAGGACCACCCCATCCTTTTTGTAAGGAAATCAGTTTATTATGGTTTACTTATATTTGCTGCTTTGTTTTGTTGCAATGTTGACGCAGAGTGAAGTTTTTTGTGTCTTCTTCGACAATGAAGGGGAGTCGCCACATAAGCCCGACAAATTGATGGGGTGCACCATGCGCACTAAATGCACCACCAATTGTTAGGTTTCCTTCCATAACTTTCCATATCTACAAAGATGTCCTAAATGGATCTACACCGTAGTTCAGGTCTTACATTGTCTTGCAAAGCGCTTGGGCGAATTGTACAAAAGAACACCGTACATCAGACCATCCTGGTAACACCCTCCCATTTTGTAAGCCAATGCATGAGGCTTTGATGCAACAACCGAAATCCCTGCACAATTAGGTGTGCAGATCGTTTTCTGCACGAATTCCATACAAAAAGACCGTGATGACCTCTTAAAATCAACAAAGTGATTCCTTGCAAAATGAATGGCCTCAACCCAGCCAAGATTTCAAACTGCATTTTGAGATTGCTATATGAAAGTTATTTCATGCCTAAATCCTATGTCTTATTGCTCTTATAATATGGCAAGGTGCAAGCAAATCCCTGCAAAATGACCTCTCAAACAGAGTGTGACGCGTTCAAAATTAGTAACAAATCAGTGATGCTACAAAGTGGATGGCCTAGCGAACGTGATGTACTACAAAATGACACTAGATTCCGGTTCTACAGGGGCCTTGGGGATACCGTATGCCCATTCTGAAAGGGAAGTTTCAACGGGGATTTGAACAATAACAAGACAAATCCCTGTGCAAATGTCCACTCATGAACGTCACTGAGGACACTCACACAAGACCCAAACAAAACAACACCTTCAATGGTTCTTGCGATTCTTGCGGTGACAGGTCTGCTCAGTCCTGCACAAACGCGATCGGGGACCCGCTGACCAATAACTATAAAACTCCTTAGCCACGAGCTTTGCTATGCAGGACCTCTGATGTGATCCCAGAAACAATATAGACAGGAAAAAACATGGTAAAGATATGGCAATGGAGATTAGAGGAGAGTAGAGATGTCAAACATATAATTGGCAGTCTGGGTTGCTATCAAGTTGTACAGCCTGGACATAGCGTTGAATCGAGCTGATCCCACCCAGTGTTTCAAAGCAAATGCCTATCGAACCAGAGCAAGTGACGATCCACGTGCATGAACTGTTGTGTGACAAGGCTAAGCACAGGCATTGGCCCATCCTGGCACTAATTTTCCTTGAAATCTAGCAGCCTGCTCGAAGGTACATCGCTCGTTTTAGCTGCCAAGCGTCGCAACTGGAATTGAATGCACATGCCATCTGACCTCAAAATTGAATGTAATGGCACCAATCTTGCATGTTTGTAGAATCTGGTGAAGAATTTTGCTTCATTTTGCTATACCAAAGCAAAAAGGATACCGATAGGTACAGTAGTGGTTTACTTACTGCAAGTTGGGATGTCGACACCGAATCAGAGTCTGAAATGCCAAAACATGTTGCATGCCTGATTTCCCTGATCGTAAATACATTATCCTACATCAATAACGCTGGTAAGATTTCAACACTTATAGAACAGAGAGGACACACGGCAACACAAAAAGAAAAAAACACTAGGAAACCGAAGCATTGTTGTCCATCAAGCAATCTTATGAGCGTTTAGACATGGGTTCGGTTGCCAAATGAAAACAACATAAAACAACTATATATATATACTTTATGTGTATGTATATATATACACGTATATATACTCAATGCATTTCAATTTGGTGACTTGACTTTCGTAGCGTCCTCCATGCCGCATTGGTAGGATTTTGAAACCGTGCGAGAAGTCTGTCGCTCTAGATCCCCTCAAATCATGACTTTTGGTTTTGTAGAAATGTTGTGTTGGAAACATGGAAACGATTCTGCACATTGGAATCGAAGTAGATTGCCAGAGATGTACCTGATCGTCAAAGTGCGTAGCAGCACAATGTGTTTACTTGCATTCACAAACCCCGACACATTGCCTTGCTGACATTTGCTGACCATATTCGCAAGGCAATGCAACCAAGCCTCACTCAGGGAAATCTTTTGTCCTTCCCATTTGCAAAGGCGAGTCTGCGCAGTAGACCGTGTTGCTGCTCCCATGGTCTGGCAATGTGCGAATGAGGAACTAGAAAGACGATGAAGGACGTGCGTTGCGATGGGAAATTCATTTTGGAAGAAGCGCTGACAGCACAAGGTGAGGGTGTTAAACAGGCATGCCCGTCTAAA